TTTAAGTAGTTAAACTAAGCAGAAAGAGGAAGGATGGGTGCTCCAGAATTCCATGGAGTTGCAAAGATTTTTAGTGAGAGGATTAGATCTCTTAGTAAAAAAATTAGAGAAGTCATAGAAATGTTAGTTAAACCCCCAGTGATGTTACCCATGAGATTATAAAATATAAATTACTTAGATTTACATGTTGGAAACCTTAAGAGTATTCCCTTTAAATTATAAACTTCTTAACCAAGAGGAAAAACAAAGAGTTACTCATGAAAAGTTAGAAATTAAAATAAACAGATCTCTTGAAAAGAAGAAAATATTTTATGGAGATTTGCTAAACAAGATTAAGAAATGATTATTCTTTCTTTTTAAATTTTACCTGTCTGGTGCCTTAAATTTACAAGGCTTTCAGAGATCACTATCATTCATTTGACACCTGAGTTCCTTTGAATTATTGGAATCTGGGTTTTGTCTTAATTTCCACGTCCACTAAGCATCCGACTCAAAAGACTGGGCATAGAGAGTAGCTTGATACTAATACATTTACTCCTAGTAATTTCCTCAAGTCCATACATTGTCAGAATTATTACTGCATTACTGATGAAACTGGAAAAGTAGGCTGTCAGTGGAGAGGCTATCAGGGGGGGAAAAAAAAGCTTAAAAGATAGTCAAATGTAGAGGCACCTGGCTGGCTCAGTCAGAAGAGCCTGTGACTCTTGATCTCTAGGTCATGGGTTTGAGCACCACATTGAGTGTAGAGATTACAAAAAAAAAAAAAAAAAAAACCTTAAAAAATGAAAAGATGGGGCCGCTGAGTGGCTCAATCAGTGGAGAGTTCAACTCTTGATTTTGGCTTAAGTCATCATCTTCCAGTTCTCAAGTTTAAGCCCTGTGTTGGGCCCCTGAGCTGACAAGCGCAGGGCCAGCTTGAGATTCTTTGTCCCCGTCTCTCTCTGTTTCTCCCCTGTTCTCATGCTCTCTCTCTCTCTCTCAAAATAAATAAATAAACTTAAAAAAAAGTGTTAAAAAAAAAAGACAGTCAAATGTAGAAAATACCGTAAGCTCTAAAACCTCAACAATGTCAAAATAATTGAAAACACACAGTGTTCTCCAGCTACGAAGGAATCAAACTAGAAATTAATAGCAAAAGGAAATAGGAAAATCTGCAAATACATGGAAACTAAGCAATATATTTCTAAATAATCCATAAGTCAAAGAGGAAGCTTCCAAGAGAGATACATTAAACTGACCTGGGGGGAAATACAGTGGAGATCATTTCTTCCTCTGAACATCTGAGACACTTGTACGTATAAGTTCCCCTCCTGGTTTGTGGGGTTTATGGTGCTGACCAGCCTGCAGGGGCCACTCACCTTTAAAATGAAAATCTCCATTTTTCTACAAGTTTGCTTTGCCCTTTTCTCTGCTACCCTGACTGTTGTGCTTTGTGTTTGAGTAATTTAAATTCACCAGTAGATCTTTATAGTCCAAATTGTTAAAGATCCACATCTGAATGTTTTTTTAAAAGTTCATTTCTGAGAGAGAGAGAGAGAGAGAGAGAGAGAGAGAGAGAGAGAATCCCAAGCAGGTTCCGAGCTGATAGTGCAGAGCCCAACTTGGGGCTCCATCCCACAAACTGTGAGATCATGACCTGAGCTGAAAGCAAGAGTCAAACACTCTGAGCCACCCAGGTGCCCTCACATTTTAATGTTTTAACCAGAATTTTTATTACTTCAGAAGATAAATACTATGTGTTCTGTGGTATTACTGTGACCACAGAAAACAAGAGGGCATTGTTTAGAGCCTTGGGTTAGAAGGAAGAGAAGGGGTGGGGGGTAGAACAAGCTGGAGTGGGGCTGCCTGAGGTGAAACTTACTTAGCTCAGAATTACCAGAGAATTGGGGGAGGGGAGGAAAGACCTGGAAAAAGCCCACAGTCCATTCTGCACCTTAGCCTGGGCATGAGTGTTTTCTGGAAGCTCTGTTGTGGAGCAGAGGGGACTCTCTGAACACCACACTGCCTTCTCCTTGCACAGCTTCCTGTTCCCACACGACAGGTACAGTGTGGCACAGGAAGGGCTCACCTGTGCCGTTCTGAGAAAGAAGGCTGTGGAAGAAGTTGTGCCACTAAAGCTTTTGCTTTATAGGGGCTTGGATGCCCATCTTGCATTTGGCTTGGCAAAGTTGAAAGCATGAAGTGACATCTCTGTGGGTCTTCTCTCTCCTGAAAGTCAGTGGCTCTTACAGCAACACTGCTTGTGGCCTCAGATCTAGTAAAGTAACAGCTAAAATTGATACAGAACTTGCTATGCTCCAGGCACTGTTTCAAATGCTTTGTGTATGGTAACTCATTCAATCTCATAACATCCCTATGAGGTGGGTACTCCTGTTCCCTCTGTTTTACAGAGCAGGACGTGGAGGCACGGAGAGGACAAGGAACTTTGTTAAGACTTCACAAGGCTGTCTGCCTCACAGGTCTTTTTTTTTTTAATTTTTTTTTTCTACATTTATTTATTTTTGAGAGACAGAGACAGTGTGAGCAGGGGAGGGGCAGAGAGAGAAGGAGACACAGAATCCAGAACAGGCTCCAGGCTCCAAGCTGTCAGCACAGAGCCCAACTCAGGGCTCAAACCCACGAACCGTGAAATCATGACCTGAGCTGAAGTTGGACGCTTAACCGACTGAGCCACCCAGGCGCCCCTGCCTCACAGGTCTTAACCAGGAATTAGGAAACATCCTGTAATGGGCCAGACAGTCTCGGCTATGACTACTTGACTCTACCGTGGTAGTGTGAAAGTATCCACAGACAACACTTAAATGGATGAACATGGCCGTGTTCTAATAAAACTTTATTTACAAAAACAGATAGTGGGCTGGATTTGACCCATGGACCCTAGGTTGCAGACCCCAGCTCTTAACTGTTAACTAGCACTACACCTCATGTACATGAAACCTCTCATTTATGTTTCCTCAGATTCCTGTCCGTTCCCACGACATTCCATTCAAATGGCAACTGTCATTTTAGGAAACTTACAGTTTACAACACATCTGCTCTTCGCAGTATTTTTTGAAGAATGTTTTATCACTGTCCAGAGAGTTTATTTATTTATTTTGAAAGAGACCAAGTCAGGGAGGAGCAGGGAGAGAGAGGGACAGAGAGAAAGCCCCAAGCAGGTTCTGCAATGACAGCACAGAGCCCAACGTGGGGCTCAACTCACGAACCGTGAGATCGTGATCTGAGCCGAGATCAAGAGTTGGACACTCAACCAACTGAGCCACCCAGGCACCCCTCACTGTCTCCATTTTAGAGAAGAGCAAAATGAGGCTTCAGAGACAAAGTCACTTGCCCCAGGGTCTTGTGTTACGAAGTTCTTTGGCATGTTCTAAACTTGAGATCTAACTCAGTAAACACCAACTTTCCCATGCTGCCCTTCCATTCTAATGTTGATGTTCGCTTTTTTCCTTCTAAAATGCTTTTTTCTCAGTCTATTTTGTGCTGTCTTGTTGGGGAATCAAAGGAGAAGCACCCTGTCTTCTTGTGAACCTTATAGAATCTTCTCTCTGAGCTTTTAGAATCTTCTTGATGAAAAGTCTTATATCATGCCAGGTCTCTGAGGGCTATGGGGATGGACACAATCTAAGCTTGAGTATAGAGACTACTTAATGATTGTCATTCATTTTTTTTAATATTAAATTTATTGTCAAATTGGTTTTCATACAATACCCAGTGCTCATCCCAACAGGTGCCCTCCTCAATACCCATCACCTACCCTCCCCTCCCTCCCACCCCCCATCAACCCTCAGTTTATTCTCAGTTTTTAAGAGTCTTTTATGTTTTGATTGTCATTCTTAAGAACTAGGAGGGATCTGTCAAATGCAGGATCTATGCACCAAAGGGCCAAAGGAATGTGAGGCTCAGCATCAGTGACTAACATTTATTTAGAGTGTAATCCATGGTTGGTGCTGTGCTTAGTATTTTTATATATTATCATCTTCTCGGAACCACTCTTGAGGTAGGCAGGTCTCATTATCCTTCTGCAGATGAAGAAACAGAAGCAGAGAAAGCCCAACAACATATGCTATAAAGATTGAATGTAATGTCTCTCTGACCTTTTTGAGGAGAGCTTAGATGTTCATGTATTGGAAATACTGCCAGTGGCTGGGCAATAAACAGAAGTTTCCAGCCAAAGTAAACTCTTCCTTATTCCTCTGCCTTGTTTGAGGCCCATGGATATGCTAGTAGAGAAAAAGGAAGAAAATCTCCCCAGGAGAGACAGCAGCTCTCAGAACCCTCCCTAACCAGGCCTCCTCAGTTTTCCCAATGCTTATCTCTGGTGCCTTTGCCTAAACCCTTAGCATTCCCAATAAGGTATCTACAGTGTGGTATGAGACATTATCTCACTACCCTGCCACGATGTTTTCCACTGTGATTGTGTAAGAGCACAAAAATATTACTTTACCCTCAAAAATTCTTTGTTTTTAATGTTTATTTATTTATTTTTGAGAGAGAGCACAAGCAGGAGAGGGACAGAGAGAGAAGGAGACACAGAATCTGAAGCAGGCTCTATGCTCCAGGCTCCGAGCTGTCAGCACAGAGCCCGACACAGGGCTCGAACTCACAAACCATGAGATTATGACCTGAGCCAGAGTCAGATGCTTAACCAACTGAATCACCCAGACACCCCTCACCCTCAAAAATTCTTAGTGGGAAATGGTCAGTTAAGTCTTATCACCAAGTTCTAGAGAAACATCTGTGGGGTAGAATTCAGGGGAAGCCAGGAGACTTCCCACTTCCGAAATTACAATTCATTTTGGTCCGGGGAGCAAGTCTTCTGTAGACACAGCATCTTCTGTTCCTGCCGCTGCGCTGTGCCCAGATCCTGCCGTCAGAACGAAACCCTGGTTGGTCTTTGCCAAAGGTCTCTCGGCAGCTCTCGGTGCCAAACCATCTTCGCATCTATGAACAGTTGTGTTTTCTCGCTTAAAATACAGCAACATTGTTTGTGTTTCTGTCAGAACGTGAAAAAGACCGACTGGTTCCAGGAGTGGCCAGATTCCTACGAGAAGCACATCTACAGCTCAGAGGACAGGAATGCGCAGCGGCACCTGAGCAGCTGGGCCATGCGCAACACCAACAACCACAACTCGCGCATCCTCAAGAAGTCCTGCCTGGGCGTGGTGGTGTGCAGCCGTGACTGCTCCGCCGAGGAGGGGCGCAAGATCTACCTGAGACCGGCCATCTGCGACAAAGCCAGGCAGAAGCAGCAGAGTGAGTAGGGTCCCCTGGCACAATGAGGAAGCTGACGTCCACTAGGAGGCTCCTCCCCAGAGGCGAGCACATCCCGGCACATCCCAGCACATCCCGAGGGGTGTGGAGTGTGTGGAGACCAAGGTTGTTCCTTATGTAGAACACATTATGGAGAGCCGACCAGCCTCCTCAACCCCCAGTATCTGCCCCACGGATCTGCCGTGCCCAGAGCACCCACCAGTAAAACTGCTCCCCTGGCTCAAGGCACCTGACTCCAGGCCTCTGTTACAAAGCAGACGTGTCACTTCAGGGGCGGACATGAGTTCATCATGCACCCACAGAAAGTTTAGGTGAAAGTTGTTTGCCACACTTGCCATCTTGGGGAATGGGGCCGAAGATGAACTCAGTGAATGCTTTGGTCTGGAGTGGGAGCGGCAGGGCTAAGTTTGAGATGAGACTCCATTCCACGTCCTTTAGATCCATGCCATAATCACGTTTGCTTGGTTTTCCTTTATCGTGTTCCTGGGATTTTGAAGCAGATACGTTCAGCATTCCCTGTGTCTTGCCCACTCCAGTCCCCACATTACCTCACGTTCTGTCCTTGTAATTTGTCTTTAAAACTTGCTCTCAGGAAAGGATCTGCTATCAGTCATTTACACTTTAATGAAAATTTCGTGGCTGTGCTCTTTCTCTCCTGTGACTTTGCTCCTTGACCCTTAATTCTAATTATGAAGTGAAAGAATTCTTTCCTCTTCTCTACCAAGAATTTCAAGTATCAGTAAATAAGTAGGGAGGGATTTTCTGCTCAAAGAGCTCTCCCCTGATCTGTGAAATACCCTGCTGTGGAAGAAACTTGCTTCCTTTTCCCCCTGTGTGAGACCTGGGCTGGGACACTTCAATGGCCAGGCCTCCTAGGGTCAGGGGTAATGCCCAGGAGGGGATGAAAGCTCATAAAGCTGTGCCCAACTATATTCTCTGCCATCCTGGAATCAGGCCTGCACTGCTAGAGTCGCACAGACTCAGGAGTCAGTTGACATGGCCTCCCTCCTCTGCTCTCTTACAGGGAAACGCTGTCCCAACTGTGATGGGCCTCTCAAGCTGATTCCTTGCCGAGGCCATGGGGGCTTCCCGGTCACCAACTTCTGGAGGCACGATGGACGCTTCATATTTTTCCAGGTTGGACTGAATTTAGAGTGAGGAGATGCCATTTCTCTTTCATTCAAGAAATGTGTACAGAGCACAGGGAGAAGTTTCGTACAGGAGGTGGATGGGTGGACGAGAGCCTGTACCAAGCCTGAGACCCACGCTGGGCAAGCAGATGTCTGTACCCATACCTCAGCAGACACACCATGTACCAGGGAGCCAGCTGACTCTGCCTCGGGCTTCTTGGGGGAGGCAGCTGTCAGTACTCCTATCACGCTCGGGCTAGCGCAGTGCAGGGGCATGCAGTCGGCTTCAACAGACCCGAGGTCGAATACCAGCTCTGACCTCTAACCGACTCTGTAAACCTAAACATGTTACTTTGCTCCCCTAAACCCACAGTTTTACATAAAATGTGGATGTTAAGAAGGACTTTACAGGGGGCGGTGGTGTAAACAGGATAGAGCGTGGCCTCTGATGGCAGACTGCCTGGGTGTCAGGATCAGTGTCCCTGCAGAAAGAGAATGTCCTGATTTGCTAGGGTGTCACCAGCCATTTTTAACAGCCAGCTCACAGAATTCCTGAAGGTCCTAGAGCTGGCTCCCCACTTGCTAAGGAGGTTGCCTGGCTGGTATAGTTTCTCCATGCTTCAGTTTCCTACTCTGTGAGCGGGGGACAGTAATAATGGTGGTAATACTAATGTGCTTGAAGGTAAAATGAGATCATGTGTTTGTGACCGCATCCTCTACGTACAATAGGAAGCACTTAGAAAGTGGCCCTTGTGATCATTGTGGATATGACTTGGCCAGGTGTGCAAGAGGCACCATGGGAGGAAGGGGCACCATGACCAAAGGCAGGCAGGAAAGCACATGGTGGGTTTAAGAGGTCTCATCAGTCTCATGACAGTCATCAATGGCAACAACGCCCCGTCAGGTGGCAGGGCACAGGATAAGCCTTTATATACCGTGAAGTACAATCTTGTTATTTATTTTACCTCCCTGTCTCCTATAAGTCAAAGGGAGAACACGATCATCCCAAGCCAGAAACCAAGTTGGAAGCTGAGGCAAGAAGAGCAATGAAGAGGGCACAGATGGCATCCTCCTCTGTCTCCTTAAAGCTGAAGGGGAGCCCAGAGACAAAGGTAACATGTCCCCCTATTTGTTCAAAACGTACAACTCACCACCCATGTGGTGGGAGCAATAGATGTCCCTGGTCCCTTCCCACCTACCAATGAAGTCAAAATCATACTATCCAGCTCATCTACAAGCTAGCATCCACCAAACAAATGGAATCTGGGGGTTTCCTCTTAATTTCTACCATCTTTCTGGTATGTTCTCAAATGTTCATTAAATTCCATATATTTTTAGAATCATCGTCCCCACTACAATTGACAAAAGAGATTTGGATTAGTACTTAACCTATATTCGGCACTTTATCTTTCGGTTCTATCAAAAAGGAAACTAAAATGATGTCCACAAAATAATTAGCCTTGTGTTTAGAATTTTTCCCCCAAATTTCCATTTTTCCCGTAAATAGAATATTTCCTCAGCACATTGTCTCAAGATGAAAAACCCACTTTTCTGAAAATAATGGCCATCTGGAGGGTTGGGGTGGGAAAGCCAAACTGTGAAGTGAAGTCTGTGGGTCTGTGGGCATCATACCATAGGTTTGTGGGTATGTCTGCCTCACAGTGGTGCTAATTCCTGTATTTTACTACTGCTCAGGGCTCTACATTTCTTTTCATGAGAACAGAGATGGAGTCAGTCCATCCCTAGAGGTTGTAAATGTGTCTCACATAGGAAAAATTGTCATTTGAGTCTGTAGGGAAATGTGAGTCCTTGAAACCAAATGGCTGGTCCCTCGTCCCTTCTCCAAGCCATGGGACAGGTTGAAGGACATTTCCTCCCAGTCACTCTGGCTGGTCATGGTCTCTCCACCTCTACCCTCTTGTTACATAAACAAAAGGATAACTTAATTCTCAACCAGATTCTTTTCCTGTGACTTACTGGAAGGTAGTACACTTCCTTCATTTATAAAAATAAATTTACTACTTATATATTCTACAGGTCCTATTTATGATTCAACAAAATTCCCATGAGTTCAGAGAAAAATCTTGAAGGAAAAAAATAAATAACCCTAGTCTCTCAGACTGGAAACAGCACTAAAATACAGGGAAGTCAAGGAGGGAAGTGATGTGTGTGTGTGTGTGTGTGTGTGTGTGTGTGTGTGTGTGTGTGTGTGAGAGAGAGAGAGAGAGAGAGAGATCCTCTGAGAGTTATACTGAGTATAATATAAATCTTTGAAGCCATGACTTGATTCTTCTTAAATAGTCTCTTGCAAGTTCCTCACAAAGGCAGTTAGAATATCAGATTTGTGCTTGAGGATGAAACAATTTTATTTTTATGATTTCTTTTTCAATGTTTATTTTTGAGAGCAAGAGAAGAGAGTGTGAGCAGGGGAGGGGCAGAGAGAGAGGGAGACACAGAATCCCAAGCAGGCTCCAGCCTCTCAGCCGTCAGCACAGAGACCGACATGGGGTTCGAGCTCACAAACTGTGAGATCATGACCTGAGCTGAAGTTGAACACTTAACCAACTGAGCCACTCAGGCGCCCTGAGGATGAAACATTTTAAACACACTCACTCTCCTCAGAGTAAAAGGAGTAAGAGTAATTCGACTCTTACTGGTTAGTAGGCTTTAGAGTGGAAATGGAAGAAGCTTCTTTCAGGCTTTAAGTAGTTGTGGTAAGACTCCCCTGTGCATTTGTGCTTCAAGTATGTGAGGAATGAGGAAAATCGGACGGAGCACTGATTTGTGTGGAGTAACTCTGGGTGCCTGTGGTAGTTGTGTCAATTTGCTTAACTTATTAATGTGAGCTTTTCACTTTCCTTTCTAGTCTCTTCCAGGTGAAACACAAAGTTGGGGAAGTTTACCTTTAACTTGGTCTATCCAGGAAGGCATCCAATTGCCTGGTAGTTACGGTGGACGTTTAATAGCTAACACTCCCCAGCAGAAGTCACTGAATGATTCCTTATTCTTCTCCAAGAGTTATTGTTTGGGGGGAACCACTGATCTGGTAGACCCTGCTTCTACCTTGGGCCCCACTAAACTCTATGAGAAATGCAAATTGTCCAGTAGTTGGATTTATAATAGTGGGGACCTGCTTCATCCTGTTTCTGGAGTCTTCTCTGACTACGATGATCGGCAAACGTGGAATAAAAACACTGCTTTGGGGAGAAATTCTCTTAATGACAATCGTTGTCCCAATTATCCTTTTGCTTTGACCAGCTGGCCTTATGATTTCTCCCCTTCTCAGAACTCTTCAGAACCCTTTTCCCAGCAGATTCCCGTGGAACCACCTGCAGCCGAAAGTAGCTGTCACCCACTATGGCCAAATCCAGGGGGTGATCTTTACGAAGAGAAGGTGCATGTGGATTTTAACAGCTGCTACCCTTCCACCACATGCCACTCACGTCAGGAAGACCCCTTTCTCCTCACCTATACCCCCCACCCCCACCATCAATATTCATTGACAGGCAAGAGCAGCGAGTGGGATTTTAATGAAGAAATGAGGGGCATGGGTTTGGATCACTACAACAATGAGATGCTTCTAAACCTTTGTCCTTTAAGATGATCCAAATAGAAATCCTTGGACACTACTAGCAGGAACGTAATTTAGTGCAGACGCTGTGGAAAACAGTTACAGAGGTTCCTCAGAAAACTAAAAGTAGAACTACCATGCGATCCAGCTATTTTCCTTGTAGGTGTGTATCCACAGGAACTGAAATCCTTATCTCCTTATCTCAGAGAGGCACCTGCACTCCCATGTTCACTGCAACATTATTCACAATAACCAAAGTACAGAAACAACCTAAGTGTCCATCAACAGATGAATGGATAAAGAAAATATGGTGTATACACACACACACACACACACACACACCATTCAATGGACTATTATTCAGCCACACAAAAGCGAGGAAATCCTACCATTTGGGACGACATGGATGGACCTTGAGGGCATTATGCTAAGTGAAATCAGTCAGACAGAAAAAGACAAATACTGTATGATCTCACTTACACGTGGAATATAAAAAAATAAATGCAGACTCCTAGAAACAGATCAGATTGGTGGTTGCCAGAGGTGGGGGATGAGAGGTGGGGGTAAAATTCAGTGAAGGAGATCAAAGGATACAAACTTCCAGTTTTCAGATAAACTAAGTTCTGGGGATGTAATGTACAACATGATGACTCTGGTTAATAGTACCGTATCGTTGTATATTGGAAAGCTGCTAAGAGAGTGGATCTTAAATGTTCTTATCACAAGGGAAACAATATTTGTAACTATGTGAAGCAATGGATATTAAGTAAGCTTCTTGTGGTGAAAATTTGGCGGTAATACATATATCGGGTCATTATGTTGTACATCTTAAACCTATACAATGTTATATGTTAATTGTATCTCAATAAAACTGGAAGAAAAGAAAAAGGTGACCCAGATTTTTTACAACCATTCAAAATAACTGTTTTAGTAAATTGCTGAAAGAATTTATTTGGGAAAGAGTTTTCAAAAACATAACCACACATAAATTGAAATTATGACAACAAGCAGAAGGCACAACTTCCTTCTTCACACAAGGAATTTGGGTCCTCCTCCATTCCAGTCTTCCCATGCTTAGTGAGGAACTCGTCCCGTCTGTGGAAGGAAATAGCCTCTGCTTTTTTTTCTCCCCCCACATTACGTGGGGTTCTCAGCACCTCTGCTGCCTTAACTGTTACATTTTCATTGTCCTTGAATCCTATCAAACAGCAGAGATGTGAAAAGCCCACCTACCTAGGAACTCACATATGCCTTCTTGAAAACTGAGGATGAAGCAACAGAGATTAAGGGTAAAAGAGCTTCGGAGGTGTAGAAAGATGAAGATTCTACCACTGAGGTATTTAATGCTTTGTCTAGTATTGTGGGATCCGTTCATGAAATATGTGTTTTCTGGTTGATTTCTAAGACTTGTCAAGACAAGGAGTATGAACTAATTGCATCTAAGACCATGAGCAGCAAGACTAAACAGCCACAGGAAGAAAAATCCCCATGGGGCCAAATGGCCTCTTGCTCTTCTTTCCCCACTGCCTTCCCCTTCCGTGAAGGCTTAGATTTTGTCTTATTTACCTTTGTTTTTATAGGGCCTAACCAGTGCCAAGTTCATGATACGTGCTTGAGAAATGCTTTCTTAGAAAAGTCCTTATGTAATTAACATGGCCATGGTTGGCCCCCTGTATCTGGATGCCAGTTCCTCTTCTTTGCTAAAGTATTTTATAGTGAAAGATGAGCCTGGACATAGAATCTGGAAAGAACTGTGCAATAAATATTTTCCAAAATTAATTTGCATTGCTATTTGAATGATAACCAATGGACATAATACAAAATTTGGTTCCCGGTCTCCTCCTTAAGGGAATATTGACTCATTTCTTGTCTGTTCTTCCAGATATATATATATATAGAGAGAGAGAGAGAGTGGGAGAGACAGAGACAGAGACAGAGACAGAGAGACAGAGAGAGTGACAGAGAGAATCATACCAGGTTCATTGCTAGCATGTCTTTTGTCATTTGGGGACACAATCTGGACATCAGATCCTTATAAGCACATAGGACCACAGTTGCCTCATTTTTAATGGTACAGAATACATTACATGACTGTATTATAGTTAATTTAAATAGTCCCCTATTAGTAGACATTTAGATTGGGTTGAATCTACTTTATTTTTTTGTCCAAGTGCATAAAACTTGCATGTTCAGTTTAGCAGAGTTCTAAAGCAAATTCTTATACAAGCACTATCCAGGTCAAGAAATAGAACTTTCTGCTAGTTCAGTAAATCAAGGTCCCCTGGTTGCAGCCCCCAATCTCACCCACTCCTGATCTTAAACCCCTTCCTGCATCCTGAAGGTAATTGCTGGAATGACTTTTTATATTTTTACTGCCTTTGCATGACTATTAAAGAACGGTTTGGTTTTGTCTTTTGGGGGGAACTTAACAAATAGAATCATATGGGAGACTGTAAAAAAAAGTATTGAAATATAACATACGTACAGAAGAGTGCACAAATCATAGTCTACAGCTCAATAAATCACAAGCACACACAAATCTAGCGATCACCTGGTTAGCATATATTCTGCTCAACATTGTGTCCGTAAGAATCAGATTGTTGTGTGTAGTTGTAGCTGGTTATCTTCACTGTTACATTACATTTATTTATTTTTTCTTTTTGGAAGTTTTATTTTTTAAAAGGTTTTTTTTTTAATTTTATTTATTTATTTTGAGAAAGAGAGAGAGAGCACAAGCAGGTGAGGGGCACAAGCAGGTGAGAAAAGGAGAGACAGAATCCCAAACAGGCTCTGCACCATCAGCACAAAGCCTGATGCGGGTCTCGAAACTACGAACTGCGAGATCATGACCTGAGTTGAGATCAAGAGTCAGACGTTTAACCGACTGAACCACCCAGGTGCCCCTCATTTATTTTAAGTTTTTTTATTTAAGAAATCTCTACACCCAACGTGGGGCTCAAACTTGACCCTAAGATAAAGAGCCACATGGTAAGCCAGCCAGGTGCTCCTCAATTTATTTTTATTTCACCCCAAATGTCTTTTTCCCATGCTCTAAAATAAGGTGTCTGCTTGCTAAAAATTTTGGCTCAAAATTCTTTGAGAAAGTAGTGTGTCATGAAATTCAGCTCCTCTCTGAGATTTCCAGGATTTTGTATCTCTTCATCCTGCGTGGTCCTTGAGTATATACAACCACTGGATCTGAGAGTTTGAGCTAAGTTTAAAGGTCACTTGTGCAACAAGTGTCTGAAGACACAAGAATCTTTCTTACTATTTGCCAAACAAAAGTTTACCCAGCATGTTTTCATTGCTTTGCAGAGAAGGGAGTTTCTTTTCTTTAGAGCATAATCACCAAATAAAAACAATAGACTTAAAATGCACTTTAATGTACCTTGAATGTTCTGATTTTCCTTGTTTTTCAAAGGGAGAATTCGTATTCTTATTGTTCCACCTCTGAGCAGGGATGGAGTAGATTAGTGTGTGGGTTTAACTTTTTTTTTTTTTAACTGGGATATAATTGACCCTACCATATCAGTTTTAGCTACACGACATAATGATTTGGTATTTGTATATATTGTGAAATGATCCCCACCATAAGTCAGCATCCATCATCACACAGGGTTACAAGTTTTTTTCTTGTGATAAGAAGTTATAAGATCTACTCTCTTAGCAACTTGCAAATATATAGTTTCATTTTATCTCCTGTGCATGTTTAACTTTAGCAGAAACTGCCAAACTGTTTTTATAAAATGACTATATCATTTTGCATTCTCACCAGTAATGTACATGAGTTCCCGTTGCTTCTTGACCCAGTCTTTTAAATTTTAGCCATTCTAATAGGTAGGTAGTGCTATTTCAGTGTGGTCTTAATTTGCATTTTCCCTGATGATGTATGATGTTGAACTTCTTTTTGTATGCTTATTTGCCATTTGTATATCCTCTTTGATAAAGTGTCTATTCAAAACTTTTGTCCACTTTTTTTTTTTTCAAAGTTTATTTATTTTTGGGACAGAGAGAGACAGAGCATGAACGGGGGAGGGGCAGAGAGAGAGGGAGACACAGAATCGGAAACAGGCTCCAGGCTCCAAGCCATCAGCCCAGAGCCTGATGCGGGGCTTGAACTCACGGACCGCAAGATCGTGACCTGGCTGAAGTCGGCCGCCCAACCGACTGCGCCACCCAGGCGCCCCTTGTCCACTTTTTTTTTAATGTTTATTTATTTTTGAGAGAGAGAAAGAGTGCGGGAACAAGTGGGGGGAGGGGCAGAGAGAGAGAGGGAGACACAGAATTGAAGAGACTCCAGGCTCCAAGCTGTCAGCACAGAGCCTGACATGGGGATGGAACTCATGGACCGCGAGATCATGACCTGAGCTGAAGTCAGACGCTTAACTGACTGAGCCACCCAGGTGCCC